GGTATTTTAAGTATTATGCCTTAAGAGCGTTAGATTCTAAGGTCATAAATACTGAAATTACACCATACAGCCTTTCATTTTTCTTTTGAGATGCTGTCCTGTTTTTCTTTTGAGTATTTTGGGAAGAGTTAGGAGAAGAAAGAATGTGTGCTAGCAATGCAGCGATAGGGCAGGGCAGGCCTTGGACTTCTCACCCCGTGCTGCTAAACTCACCAGCAAGACATGCCCTGGTGACTCTCAGATACAGTTCTTTTAGTTCATAGATGGAAGAAATGCTTCTTCCTACTCTGTTAGCAAGAAGAAGAGAAAAAGGTGGGAGAGAGACTTAGACAAGATAAACTCCTGCATCATCTGTCGTCCCTGTAACACCAGGATCCTGGATCCTGTTCCTTCGCTTGGCTCACAGGAGGCTGTCCGAGCATTCTCCTTTTCCTTTTCTTTAGATGAAAATGAGTAGCATTAATAGATGAATTTATAATCTTGACTTCATTTCCTTTTTAAACTTTATAGAAAGAAATGAATACATTTCCACGTAAGTAGTCTAAAAGGAGATAAAAATGAGAAAAGACCTTTCATAGTTTGTCATTTCTCTCCACATTTCATTGCCAAGAATCAGGGAAGTGAGAGATGTCAGACCCCAGCCAAGCAACTGCTCTAAACTCCAGCCTTGACAAGTTAAAGGGGGTTGACGGTGTCAGAATCACCAGGCGGGTTGAAGAAGCAGCCGGTTCCACAGGTCTCCAGTGTATAAAGTCCTAGAACGAACTCAGTTCTAAGGTGTCGGGAGTACTCAACGTGTTTCTATTCACTGAAGAGAAACAGGACCAAGACAAAGCAGGCGATCTCAGGACTGGAGAGGCTCAATCTGATCTATGCCTGAAACTGGGGCCAACTTGCTGGCAAGCCAAGCGCTTTCCTGGAGAGCAGTTCCCACCAGGCGTGCGGGACAAGCACCCGGGGCCTCAGACAGAAAACAGTCCCATTGTCTTGAAGATCAGGGTCTGGCACTGGCCCCTGGAGCTGGGTCTGGGACTGACAGGACAATAGGTCAGCAAGAATGTGAGCCCAGTCCAGTGTAGAGGAGGAACACTAAGAAGGAGGACAGAGGAAAAAGCCTAGATTTCTAAGGAATCAGCCAAGGCCAAGTTGAATACCTTTGGTTTTATCTCCACACGGTTGGTTTATACTCCCGAGATTTCCTCACATTCTGGTAACAATTAACCTTGTCCTTGAGTGACCTCACGGTGTGCGTAGACTCGAGCGTTTGGGCATGCCCGGGATTATTACATGGAAGGAAGCCAGGGAATCCTGAAAATCCGCCCTGTTTGGCTCAGGGGTGCTGGCAAGAGGTTGCTAAGCCACAACACAGCTGAGGGTTGAACTGGTTCATGTCACATGAGGTCAGTAGCCCAGTGGCACATCTGCTCTAGAATGCTCGGAGATGTGAACTCTCCAGCATCTTTCTGGAGTTAGCTTGAAGTTTCCCACCAAAAGCAGGAACCTGAGCAGCACTTGGCGTTTTAGAGGAGTGCTCAGGTGCGGTGGACCTTGCCCGCCGTGGTGCACAAGATGGGGATGCTACTGGGAATCTCCCGTCCACATCGACACGCCAGCTCAGGCCAGGGTACCCGAGCCCCTCAGTCCTTAGTCTCCAGCCGTGGTCCAGCAGCTGGGCGGCGGCAGACGGGACCAGGGGTGTTCTGCTTTCTGTGTTAACGTGTTGACGTTCCTCTCGTGGCCTGGTTTGGGGCATGAACTGTGCATAGGGCTGACTTTAAAGCCTAGTAAGTTTCCTTTCTAAGTGAAGTTCCTTTATCTAAGTAATCTCAGGTAGTTTCGATTCTAGAGAACAAAAAACTTCCCCTTACAGCCTGGCTGTAATCTCTGAGTCATTTGGATCTGAGCTGCCTATAAAATATGCAAGTTATGATTTATCAGCCTTTAAAACCTAACTGATAGTTCGAGCATATTTAATTTTGTGATAAATATTCCAATTCTCACTCTTGTCAGTTTGTATCAATCTTTCTGTTTTCTAATGCATTACTTTTTTTTTAACCCCACCCATAGGAAGAACTGAGTACTATACCTATCAATTCTGTCTGTAAGCTAGGATTTCTCTTACTTTATGAACAGAATCTCTAGATTATTCTGTGCCTTTGAGTAATGTCATCATTCCTCTACTCAGGTGTCTGTCTGCAGGTGACCCTGCTTGTGTGTGTCCCCTCTGCCTGCCACGCTCTCTGACATACGTCAGTTTTGCACTCCAATGTCCTAATTCGTTTTTCTTAAATAGCCCTCTGCTATTAAGTGCCATATGATACATGAACTAAAGCCTTTTTCTGTTGTCTAAAAGGTTTAGTTTCATTCCCTCAGTGTTTTACTTTATTCTCAATGACTTCCAAAAGGTTTCCCAGATGCCCTAATCCCCTAACTCTGAAATGTCCTCTTTTTCCCTCAGACATTGCTTCGAAAACTTGATTCTGAGTTCCCAGCTCCACTGGAGCTTTGCACGAGAGCCTTGCACGTTTTATAAGGTGGCACAATGAAAAACCGGGCATGCCTTGCCTGGGGGAGGAAAAAAACCAACCCCAAAAACAACCACCCAGATCCAACCAACCAATTTCAGTTACTTAGGAATTGGCTTCAGCCGAATAAGGAAATACCTTGAAGGACATGAAAGAATAATCATCAGTCTCTTGTTTAAGGCCCAGACAGTCTGATATTCACCATATTGAGGCAAATCTACTTAGCAAGAAACAGACTGACTTTTATTTCTTGGCTCTGGTTTACTGCCGCAGAAATGGGCAGAAAGGAGACCAAACAAAGAAATAGGAAAAATAAGGTATTGAGAGGGAGCCTGTGTCAGGTTTGGAAGGGGTGAGAACTTCCGTGGCGGCAGGCTGTGCCTTTCTTGGACTGTTTACTCTGAGTTCAAAAAGAGAGGAGAGAAGATAGGTCTCTCAGCAGCCTGAAATGGATGCAGAACAACCTCAGATGTAATCAGACCCTGTTTGTCATTATGCAAATGCGCACATAAATGGGTTTTTCTGTGAATAATTGGTCCACATCAGCTCTAGCACTCAAGGTTAAATAGGCGTACCGGCATGCTACGCCAGCCACTCGGTGACTTCTCTCGAACAGCAGCTGAAGAGTTCGCCTCACTGTTCTTTGAGGGTAGCTGCACCTGAAGGAACTTTGGGTTGAGGACTTCCATCCCCTTCCTGTGAAAAGGGCACCACCTTGCTTGGAGGGAGGAGAATGGAAGGGCTTGCAATTGATGGTAGCATGGTGGCTTTTCATTTGTCCACCTTGGTGACGCTTCATGCTAAATGGTGTTTACTTTCTCTTCTTCAATGTGCCGTCACCTGGAATGTGTGTTAGTTGTAAGCTTGCTCCCAGGAAGGAAATCCTTAAATGTTCTTAGGGGGGAAACAAAGAATGTGCTTCCTCATTGCTTTTAAACTGAAATGAGAACTTCAAACGTATTTCTGAAGATCCCGGACCAAAAGCCTGATTAGAGTACTGAGGGCCATCGAGTCAGAGCCAAGCCACAGCTGACCCTGCAGTGTGTTTTCAGAGGCAGTCAGCCTCATGGGAAGAGACTGCCCATCCTTCTCCCGGGGACACCTGCCTTGGGACTGGCAGTGCAGCTCCTCCCCCTCCAGGCCACCAGAGCGCCCTCGCTGAATCCCAGCATGTGGCTTTCTTTCCTGTTGAGCACAGATAAAGAATGTGGGTTGTGAGTAGGAAGTATTTGTTCTAGTAAATGATTAATGTGAGCATGGCATAGGGGCGTTGGGAAAGAGCTCTGTCGGGAGAACCCACTGGAGTATTTTATTTTTATTTCCTAGAGTTAGAAGCATCATGCAAAGCCTAGGGAGGCATTGAAATATATTCCCAGGTTAAAAAGTCACTTTTGAAAGGGCATTGACTCTAAAAGCTTGGGAAACATTCTGTTTGGCTTTGCAAGCATGTGCCGACCTTCCAGGATTGTCCAAAGCCCTGTTGCTGGGAAAGCAGATATGGATAAGCTGGTTTAGTGACGTGCAGTCAATACTTAGTGGTAGATGAGCAAACAGCTCACCATCAAAGGAATGTCCGGATGGACTAGTCGAGGCCTGTGTGATGGGAGAAGGAGGCAGAGCGGACTGTGTGTGACCCGGGCAGCCGCCTGGACAGCCCCTGCGTGCCCAGGAAAGGCCGCATAGCAGCGGCAGGCTTGTCACTCAGGACAGTTGTGACCAACACAGATGAGAGTCGATGGGTCTTACAAAGTAGACTTTCTGCTCTGATCCTTAACTTGAGCCTGGCCCTGTGCCTGAAATATCCTCTTTTTTTACTTTTGCAAAGCCATAGCCACCCTAGAGATACCCTCTGCGTAATGGGTAACGGAAATTTCTTTATGTTATGAGAGAGATTTCACTGTGACACAAGTTCTGTGCTTCCCTCTGTACCATGGCTTCAGCCCTTCTTGAGTCAGTGATGGTCAGAGGAGCAAAAGTAGGATGGACCAGAATTTTCACAACGTAGGTGTCCTGTAGAGGGAAAAATGATGGGCCAGTGCCTTACTAGAAACACAGCTTCCTCCTGGCAAATAAGGACAGCGTGTGGGATTGTACTGCAGCCCCAGCTTCTGACAGAAACAGGAACAGTGACAGCCCGCCATGTGTTTCTGAACGCGTGTTACTCTTCTCCGCCCTGACACTAATTCAGTCTCCCAGGTGAGGCTCTTGAAAAGGCTCACCACCTCGCCTCTGGATCTCCCATCCCAGTTTCCCATCGCTGTTCCTTGTTCTAATAAAGCTCCATTTTACCGCTCAGTTCTATTGCAGTGTCACTGTGTCAGCCACGACTGAACTGGTTGGATGCTTTGTGGTGAACTTGATTTTGTTCCTCTAAACTAGGAAGTTGAGCCATTATTTAGAAACTCCCCTTCCTTTCTTTTGGTTCTCTGTAAAGAAGTACTTAAGTCCATTTTCTCCCCGCCCCTGTTGTTTTAGGGGAAAAGAAACAGTGGTTTCAGACAGTGCTTTTTTGGGAGCCAGAAACACTGCAAGCTGACAAAGCTGTGTCCAGCCATGGGGTACACGTTCAGACTGGCCGCTCGGAACGACATCGGGACCAGGTATGAGCCTCCCTCGTCCTCTCGCCTTTGAACTTTCCTGCTGTGATTCTGAGCCTTTTCTCACATTGCTGGAAGGATTGGAACAGCCTGCTGCCTCTACACAGGCCGACCCGAGGTTGTCGAGAGGGAATCTCTTTGGAGAGAGGAAGGCCTCTTCAGAGGGGGTAGTGTAGCTCTTGTGCAGTCTTGTCTGCTATGATGTGAAGACCCCACTAGGGGTCTCTGAGAACAGAGGATGCTGGGACGAAGGCAACGGTACACATTTTGAAAGGAGTCCCTCATGAGATCTGGGGTTTTTCCTTCCAAATCTCTTTTTTTAGTTTTTTTTCATCATTTTAGCGAGCTCTCCATTCCGTACCTTTTCCCTGTTATGTTTGAATGTTTCCTGAAAGAGGTGGTGGGCTAGCCCTCAAAGTCAAGCCCAGGGCAGATTGATACAGGTCTGAGAAACCCCTGACCATCCCGGAGAGCCCTGCCTCCAAGGCAGAAGAAGGTGAGGCTCCTTTGATTAACAATAGTTCCAGAACACTGTGTTCCAAGGACACTTGCTGGGTTACTCTTGATTAACGGAAAAAATCATCACTGCTTTTTAAGAACCGTCTTGAAGTTTGAGCACATCAGTGGTTCCCAACCTTTTTGCCAGTCTGAAGATGACAAAGGTTCTTTTGCAGACCTCCTGCCCCTACACATGATCGTATTTCCGTTGTTATGTAAGTGATTCTGACTTAGCAGCTCTATAGGACAGAATGAAAGTGCTCCAAAGGCTAGAAGTTTCTACCGAAGCAGATTCCCACGTCTTTGCTCTGTGGAGCCTTCGATGGGTTTAAACTGCTCACCTTTTACTTAGCATTTTAGGATCTTCAACACTGTGCTACCAGGACTTCTACCCATAAACCAGCCACCACCCCGACCACTCAGAGCCAGTGAAACAGTCCCAACTTCTAGTGACCTTCCTTTGCGACTCAAGGCTGTAAAGTCCTTCTAGAAGGGGCTTGCCATCTTTCTGCAGAGAAACTGGTGGATTCCAACAGCTCTCCTTTGACGTAACAGCTTGATGTTATGCCCTAACCCTCCAGGCTAGTGTCTGCTGGTTGGCAAAGCGTCACAGGATAAAAGATTTCTGTGGTTCGGGAATTTTGAAAGACACTGGAAACATTCCTGAACTTTTCTTTGAAAAAAATAGCACCATATGGATTTTCAGGTATCTGTTTTTATCAATAATTATTTGTACTCTCACAGATTTCAGGACTCACAGTTGTGGGAGGTCTGGTGGTGCAGTGTGTTACTTCTTGGGCTTTTTGGTCAGCAGTTTGAATCCACCAGCCACTCGTTGGGAGATAGGAAGCATCTCCTCACAGGAAGATTTACAGCTTTGGAAATCGAAGGGAGGGTCCTGCTAAGATGGTCCAACAGTAGTGGGATTGTCTTTTGGGGATCGCTGTGGTCCACAGCTTGGTAAACAGTACACCATGCCTTGCTTTCTGCTGGATTTTTTTGGATGGAGATACATCCTAAGAAGCTATTATTGTCCTGTGGTATTTCCCTGGTCTGCCCTCTGCCTGTTTCTCTCTCCGCAGAACACGGAATCCTGCCCAGGAGACCCCTTAATAAAGCTTCTTTAGCTTCCTTTAAAAAAAAAAAGAATCTATTGTCCTATAAATCGGTATGTTTTTCTAGTAGCAGGGAGCAGGAGATTTAGGCAAATTCAAAGTTGTGTTAGTGATTGTCACCGAGAGGATTCTTTGCATTCTTTCCTTTACCAAACCTGTCAAACCCTGGGCTGTTTGATTCTTAAGCGGGCCATGAGCTTCCTGCCGTGAGCGCTCCGTTTTGAGCTTGGAGACAGCCCTCAGTGAGCCGGCAAGTCCTCCTGACTGTGTCTTACTCTCTCCGCTTCTCCGCAGTGGGTACAGCCAGGAGGTGGTGTGCTACACCTTGGGGAACATTCCTCAGATGCCGTCTGCCCCCAGACTCGTCCGAGCCGGTGTCACATGGGTCACGCTGCAGTGGTGTAAACCCGAAGGCTGTTCACCCGAGGAAGCGGTTACCTACACCTTGGAAATTCAGGAGGAAGAAAACGTACGTTGTGCGCAGTTGATCCCGCTGGTGTGTGTTCTGTTTAAGACAGTGCTGCCCCAGCTGCAAGAATTCACAGAGGGAACTTTTCATTCCTGCCTTTCACCACGACTGCGCGTCCCACAGCTGCTCCCTCACAAGGGGGCATCCCCAAAGCCCTTGGTGTCCTTAACTACGTGTGGTCAGCAAAAATGGGGAAATCTTTTATCAAAACATAATGCGAATCCTGACTCTTTTCACCATCTTCGTGGCTACAGCCCTTTTGTCAGCGACCATGATCTCCCTGGGCTCTTGGGGTGTCCCCCAAATATGATTCCTTCCTTCTTTATTAACGCTCTGAGGTTATTCTCCACACCAAGCCCGAGGGATCCTGTCATGGTATAAGTCAGATCACCTCACTGCTCTGCCAGAGCCCCTCAGTGCCTCCCCCTCGCTGCCAGAGTGACAGCCAGAGCTCTCACCAACCTGCCGGGTCCTCTGTCACCCCATCCCGCCTTGGCTCCTCCCTGGCAGTCTCGTGAGCTCTGTGGCTGTTCCTTGACGCAGTCAGGCGTGCTCTGGCCTTGGGAAGGACCGACCCCAGAACTCTTTCAGTACTTCAGTTATCTCACTAATTGTCACCTCTTTGGAGAGGCCTTCTCTAACCACCCTGAAGAACTTCACAGAACACTGTCACCTTCAACTGTCTGCAGCGATGGAATGAGTCTGTGATTTTCCTGTCCAGGGCAGTAACCCCTCGCTTCATGTGGTTGTTCAGCAGCTGATTAGTAGGGAGCTCTGGTAGCTTAGCAGGTAAGGAGGTTGCACTACCAAACTAAAGGCAGGCAGTTCACATCCACCAGCTGCCTCAAGAGGAAGGTGGTCCATCTCCCCCTGTGAAGTTTGCAGCCTCCAGAAATCTGCTGGACAATCAGCTGGGAGTCAGTTCTGACTCGATGGCATGAAGTTGTTTTGTTTTAAGAAGTTACACGACTCGTAAGATCGGTGACTGAAATGAAATAGCCATCTCCAGTTCCCCAAGCAGGATCTTATTCTGCCCAGCACTCTGACCTCGTGAGTCAGCTTTCTTTTTCCTCATAGCATTTAGAATCACATGATATGTTTTATATGTAGATTTAAAAATAAAATTTAAAAAAATAATCCGCAGGGCATGTAAGTATCTTATGTGGAAGACTCTACCAGTCGTGGGGCAGTGCTGAATTCCTGGCGCCTGGAAGGAAGTCGAGTCCCCAGAAAGTTCTTAGCATTTTCTGAATGTACGAGTGAGGGAATGGACAGATAGCAGAGAGCGCTGTTGGGTTCTGTGCCCGCCACTTGGAGTGACAGGATCAAAGCGTTCTCCAGCCCGACTTGTCATTTCTCAGTTGAACAGAAGAGGGATCTGTGTGGCCAAGCCCCTCAGCCTCCACAGATTACAGGGCACATTGGGACCAGACCCAGAAAGCTCTCAGACAGAGAGGATTTCTATTTTCTCATTACACAGTTGTTAAATAAATGCAAAACCCCTACATATTACATTGTCACATAGTTCTACCTGACTATTAAATTCTTCTTTGGAATTCTTCCTGGGTGACCTGGCAAAGTTTGCTCAGTGAAGAAAGCATATGGTGATGCCCATTCCAAAGCAGAGCCACATTTTAACCCAAGGAGAAGATTGTCCTCATGTAAATAGCATCAGCCTCCATCTAGATCCCAAGCTGATAAAACAGGGCGGACGAGGCCCGGAAGAAGTATTACTGTGAGAGAGTTCATTTTCAGTTTGAAGCTAGGATACTCTCTACATTACATTGTGGGCATATGGGGCGGGGGGTGTCCCCGTCCGTCTGTCTGTCTGTCCCTGTCCATGTGTGGTTGGGTGACAGTGCTGTTGGTATGTGCCAATAAGTCAGAACTGACTCATCGGTTCTTCAGGGGGTTTTCAAAGGCAGTAAATGACAGAAGGAGATTGCCTATCTTTCTCCTGTGTAGCACCTGGTGGATTCAAACCATGTACCTTTGGGTTGGCAGAGCATCATCTGCGTGGCATTGGAAATAATTCCATTCTTAGTCCTGGTGATGGTGGAAAGAGTCAGAACAAAAACTCCATATAAAGGTATTTAATGCCCAGATTTGATAATACTGATCTCTCTTTCTGCCTCTGTCTTTTCAGGATAACCTTTTCCACCCAAAATACACTGGAGAGGATTTAACCTGTACTGTGAAAAATCTCAAAAGAAGCACACAGTATAAATTCAGGGTGAGTGAGTCATTTGCTCTTGATAACAGATTTTCCCTGTACAAAATAAAAAAAAAAGGATGCATAGCTTAAAAGGAAAACAAAACACCCAAACAAACACCAACAACAAAAAACCCTACTACTCTGTAGCCACGTAGAAAAGCAGTATGTCACCTAGCGTGCAGCATGTATTGTCCCTGTGTGGGCCTGTGAGATGCATGGAGTCTCCTGACTCCACCTTTCGGCTCTGACTCGCAGGCCACGTTGCATTGGTTGGTATATAATGATCAGGTAAGAGATATCGCAGGCCACGTTGCATTGGTTGGTATATAATGATCAGGTAAGAGATATCGCAGGCCACGTTGCATTGGTTGGTATATAATGATCAGGTAAGAGATAGCCAAGGAGGCCTTGTGATGCATTGACTCAGCACTTGGCTGCTCGCTGAGAAGTTCGCATTTTTGAACCTGAGAAAGAGGAAGATGCACTGAGGCGGCTCACTTCCGTGAAGACCACTCCGATACTGCTATGAGTCAGAGTTTGACAGCAGTGCGTTTTCATAAATAGCTCTAAGTGTATCAAATGGAGCGTGTGCCTCTTTGAGGACAATAATAGTTTTCTTGTTATTTTAAAAATCTTATTTCTCAGAATTTGAGAATCAGCCCAGTTTCAAAGTTAAGTGCTATTTTTGTTAAATCTGACTTTTCTCCTAGGCGAGCTGTGCCAGTGCACTGCTAGGCTCTCTCCACAAGGTGGCACTGCGCTACTCTTCAATTCTTGAGATTATTTTTATTATTTCCTCCCTCAGCTATTTTTCTCTTATAAAGCAGTATCAGCTAGGTGGCACCAAGCTGGTTTTCTTTTATAATAAAGATGAAAATATCTTTACCTAAAATCCACCTCACAGTTTTCTTTTTAATGGTGAACAGTTAATTATATGGCAGTAAATACTCATTAACAAGCAACTCTGGTGGCTTGGTGGTAAGGAGTTGTGGTGCCAACCCAAAGGCAGGCAGTTTGAACCCACCAGCTGCTCTGAAGGGGAAAGATGGAGAATCTCCTCCTGTGTGATTTACTGGCCCTGAAAACTCACTGGAGGGTCAGCCGTGAGCTGGGCACTTAGCAGCTCCTGTAAGCGTCAATAAGCCGTGTGTGTATTTACAGATGACTTGATTTTCCTGTGTTTAAAAAAAGTCCTTGCTCATTTAACCCCTGCTATCTAAAAGCATTTTAATTTTTTTAAAAAATAATATTTTATGGCATTCTTACTGAAAATTTTCCTAGCATATCTGATAGACAGTTTCCACAGGGATTGTTCAGTGACATCAGTTAACATCAGACTAGGTCAGCATTCTATTTGATCGTATACTGTTTGGGACCCATTTTTAGTACTTTTCGTCTTTTTCTCTTACCTCCTTCTCATCTTTGCTTTTGAGTGTTTGTTGCCATTTTATTCTCTTACAAATTGCTTTACAGGTAATACCCTCTGATAATGTGCTTAAAAGTAACCTCAGGGGAGTGGCTGAGTACTTGGTTTCTGGTGCTGGTCCCTGGATCCCATTCTTCTCTGTTGTTCCTGTTTATTTGTTATTGTTTGTCTTTCAAAGGACTTTAGTTCCCCATATTTTCCTGCCACCTGTGAGTCCAGGAGCAGGTGCTGTAATACTAGTCACAGTGGTCAGGTGTGGTAGAACCATTTGGTTCTTCTGGCCTCAGGGTAAATGGAATATGGCTCGCGCAGGCTTGATTTTCTCTAACCTTTTCATTATCTTCAGTAACAGCCTGTAGTTGTGTCTTAGTTGGTCACAGGCAGACATTTAAGACCACAGATGCTACTCCCTTTACCAGGATCATTGTTTTGTGAGTTGTGTGGAATTCATGGATGGCAGCCCAGCCCGTACTGTGTTGTGCTGTCCACCAAAAGCCTGTCCTCCCTGGTGGCTGAGGTCTGCCAGCCTGTTCGTGGGCAGAAAGATGGGCCATCTCCTTGCATTAAGGTCTGCAGCTAAGAAACCCAGTGGAGGGTTTCCAGGACTTGGAACCCACTTGAGTGTGTTCAGCCAAGTTACTGAGCTCTGCGAGACTAGGGTCCTGCGCCTCCAAACCCAGAAAACCATTCTTGGCATGTGCTTGGCTATCTGGCGAAGGAGTCTTTATATTTGTGTCTTCAAATGAGGCATGAACTTGCATCCACATAGCTTGTATAGACATGTACCTGTAGATAGTTCTGAGTTACCATGGCAGCAGAGTGCCGTGCTGGTCTGCAAACCAAACAGTCACAAGTTTTAATCTACCAGCCGCTCCACGGAGATGATAGGACAGTCTCTTTCCATAAAGATTTACAGCCTCGGCAAACCAGTGGTGTTCACCATGAGAGAGAATTACTGCCCAACACTGGGGGGATTGGCAGATACTTCTGAGGGTCCCAGTGGTGTAGTGGTAACACTCTCAGCCGCTAACAAATGGTTGAGAGTTCTAATGCCTCACTTACTCCACAGGAGAAAGAGGTGATGATCTATTTTTCCTATGGAGCACGGCTTTGGAAACCCGGTAGGGTAGTTCTCTGTCTTACGGAGCACTGGTGGCCTAATGGCAGAAAGCCGCGCTGCAATCCTGAAGGCACATGGTTCGAATCCACCAGCTGCTCCACAGCAGAAGGGTGGGCAGTCTCCTCCCGTGCAGTTAACTACTTCTGAAAACCTGCCGGAAGGTCAGCTGTGGGCCGGTTCCAACTCTGTAGTACACCGAGACAACTCTTACAGGGTCACTCTCAATCAGAGGCAACTGCTTGATGCAAATATTTTGCCCTTTTGTTCGTTTTAAATCGGTATTTTTACTGTCACCTATGTTTCCATCCGTATCTGTCTGTATTTCCACCAGTATTCCTGTATCTATCCATGTGTGCTACACTTGTTTTCATTTTGATTGTGCTTGTACTAACCATATCCGTGTTTAGTGCCACTTTCCCCATCACCAGACTGAACGAGTCCCTCTGATCTAAGCCATACATCCCCTGGCCCGCAAGCGCCAATGGCCAGGCAGCTCTCTGTAGATGTCTAATCTTGTCCTGCTCTGAAAGAAGGATCATGATCTGGTTTTCCCCGTAGCATTATGTCTCCGAGCCAATCCTACTGCAATCCGTTCTGCGTCCTCTTTGTTCTCTGTGTTTACATGTGCTAATGTTTTCTCGGTTGTTTTCTAGCTGACTGCTTCGAACATGGAAGGGAAAAGCTGTCCGAGTGAAGTTCTGGTTTGTACGACGAGCCCAGACAGGCCTGGGCCCCCGACGAGACCCCTGATTAAAGGACCGGTGACGTCCCACGGCTTCAGTGTCAAGTGGGGTATGTGTCTCAGTTGTGGCAGTAGCTGTTTCAGATGGACTCATTCAGTCGTGAAGGACTGAGGTGGGGGACGGACCACGGAACTGGTAGGAGGTTTCCACATCTGGATTCACATGTGACTTGTCTCATCTTAAGAAGTCCACAGATTGCTGAAAACAGTATCTTCCTTGTCCTGGCAGAAGATGTCTTGTTCATCCTCCTATGTCCTGAATTAATGATTGTTTTGAATTTTGTATTCTCTGAACATTCACGTTATTTTTCATTGTGACCTTGTCAGAACCAACTCATAGCTCACCCTCCAGTGAGTTTTCAGAGGCTCTTAATTGCATAACAGGAGATTGCCCGTCTTCCTCCCAAGGAACAGGACATTGGTGGATTCGAATTACCTGCCTTCAGATTGGCAGCACAACCTCCTACCTATTAGGCTCCCAGAGTTCCCTGGGTTTTCAGTACTTTAAGAAATAGGACAGTATTTAATATGGAAGAAACCTGACCTATAAAGTAAATTTACATTGAAAGTAAATGTTAAAGTTGAGATATGTCCGCTTAAATGAGTGCAAAGAGTAGTTAAGATACAATGAAGAGTAGTTAAGATACAATTAATTGGGAAAAGTATTATTTTCATTGTTGTTATTTATATGCCACCAGAAGGCTTGAGGAACTTTTTAATATTTACATTTATCTTGTGGTTTTTGGAAGTTTCTGGTGGACAGAAATGTGGTTCACCTCTGCGTCATGGATTATTTCATGTGAGTGCAGTTTGAACGTTGACAGACACTTGCCGCTGTATCTCAGTCTATTCTGATGCGTGTTATTATCACTGATGCTGTGTGTGTGTGTGTGTGTGTGTGTGTACACTGTCAAATCACATCCGACTGGTACAGGAGGAGGGCATTGCCCCTCCTTCTCCAGCAGAGCATCTGGTGGATTCAAACCACCTTCCTCTGGGATTTCAGTGCAGCTTTTTGCCACTAGGCCACCAGAGCTCCCTTCACTGATGCTCTATAATAGTAACTTTCAGAGTAGGTGGCATGTGAGACTACTAACTAAAGGTAGTTTAAATCTGCCAGCTGCCTCATGGAAGAAAAATGGACAGTTTCTTCCTGTGAAGAGTGATGACCTCGAAATCAGATGGAATATCACTAGAAGTTTTCATTAACTCAGTAACACTTGGTTTGGTTTTGTTCTTTATTGTGCGAAACAAAATATAGAAACCCGAAAGGATTTTTGTGTAGCATTCAAGTAAAGTAATACTAGAGGAAATTGTAAAATTAAAAATTAATTAAAACTAAAATTGTATTTAAAGATCAACCCTAGTTTCATGATATCTAATCATTTTAAGACAGATTATTGGGATATCTGTTTATTTGGAAAGATTAAAGGAAACTGTAAAAATCTAAGTATACTTTTTAGACCTAAATTGTAAGACTTTATTCTCAGAAAACTCTAGGAATTGCTGTCAACACTATTACTTGTTTTTCCCCCTACTATACTGTTATTGTTAGCTTTATAAATATCATTGTAAATGTCTCTTACTAAAGCAAGTACGTATGTTGACTAGAAATACCTGGTAAACTTTACATTTCTAGCTTTTACATGACATTCACTTGGAGTATAAAAAGCAAACTCTGGTGGAACAGCTATATTTCATTCTCATGTTATTTTTTAATTTTCTCCATAGAATTTGCCTTTATCTTTTCTTCCTTCTCCATCTATCAAAAGGTTATGGTTATTTCTTTTTATTACTATTAAATGTAAGAAAAGAAAATAAGAAAAACCAACCAGACATGTGACTTATTTAAAAATGAGCTAATATTAAGGACAGGCTTCAGATTTTTCAGTTAATAATTCATTCAGATAACCTTTTAGAAAAATCCATTTGCATTTGAAATTTGTTTACGTTTGGCTACATTTTGGGAACTTGGATGGCGTAGGCCACAGGGAGTTGCCACGGCTAACTCCAAGGTTCAGCTTCTCGGGCAATTGGAACTTCCCAGCAACTCCGTGGGAGAAAGATGAGCATTTTCTTCCTGTACCGTTTACAGCCTGGGAAACGAACCAGAGGGTTAGCTAGCAGTCTGTTTTGTTGTTGTTGTTTTTACAAAATTCAAACCATCTTGTTGCTAAGTCTTTCACTAAATTACAATTCATTGACGTATCTGTCTCTGAAAACATTGCCACTCTTCAATCTTTAAACAATCAAGGTTTTTTGGGGGGGAAAGTTTTACTTTGTTTTGTTTTCAAGAAAGGAGTTTAGTGAACTAATTATTGGGCCAATTATTCATGCCCAGGGTTAAGATATTATAGAGTTATGCTACTTAATGTATTTTATTTGCAACCAATTAAAAAAATCAAAACTCTCATAACTAATAAGACTTCTTACTTCCCAGATCACCCCAAGGACAATGGCGGTTCTGAAATCCTCACGTACATGCTGGAGATAACGGATGGAAGTCCTGACGGTGAGGGGTTTTGGAAACTGTTTGATTCAAAATCTGTAGCAAGCTGAATTTTCTAATGATGGTGGACTTATTTTTACTCATAGCGAAGAGTCATTAATTCTAATGATTGCATTACAGTCAATAAACCTTCATCACATATTGATGGCTTATTCCATCAAGCTCAGTGTCAGGCACCAGATTTACCTTAAACATACTTTTTAAAAATCATGCTCTCTCTCCTCCCTTTGTTTTTTATATTTTTCCTTTTTAAAAAAAAAAATTTCTTATTTTTTGTGTATGTAACATCAAATCGGATCTAACTGGTACAGAAGGAGATTGTCCCTCCTTCAGCAGAGCATCTGGTGGATTTGAACAGCTCACCTCTTGGATTGCAGTGCAGCTTCTTGCCACTAGGCTACCAAAGCTCCCTTTTTTTTTTTAAGTCTTACTGAGGCCTGTTATAAGCTGAGAACTTTAAAATTCCTTGACTTTGGGAGAACCAACCTTAACATAAAATCATGTTCTGCACTGAAAATGTCATACAGATTTTTCACACTAGAAATTTTTATCTAGATTTATATTTTATTTATGATTAGATTTATCTAGAGTAGACTAGATTTTCACATTCGAAACTTTGTCTAGCTTTGGTACCTGACACACTCTAAGGATGCTGGGATTTGCTCCGGTGTCTTGAGCATTAATGTCAGATCAAAACTAAAACTAAGCTTCATCCTGTGTTTAAAGCTAACAGCTTGACCAGTGCACAGGTGAATAAGAAATTGAATTAAATCTTCTCATCTCGTGCCAGCTCAGTCATATTTCAGTCCTGGTTTTCCGACGAGTAATCTAAGGATAACCTTGTTATTTGCTATTGAGTCCTGAAGACTCACGTTTGCACAGTAGAATTAACTCCATAGCGTTTTCAAGACGTTAACCTTTTGGGCACGGTTCATCTAAAGCGCCTTTTCTCAGACTCATACTGCCAGCAGTTGGCAGTCTAGCCTTTAACCTCGGTTCATTTAGCCTTTAACCTTTAACCCAGGGACTCCAAAGACAATAATTATCTTTGACGTTCTTTCTCATGTGGCCTTTTTACATGTGTCTCAACTGTAAATACACCCTAAGAAGCTGCATGAGGTGTTAGTGAAACTCACTCAGAATATCCTGGAACAGGTAAAAGTATTTTCATTCAGACAGGTCCATGGAGTCATACAGCCTTGGACACATGAGCAGAAGCAGAGCAGAGGTGGGAGAGTGTCCCCGCAGCTCAGGTCTGCGAGGTGGAGGCAGTGAAGCCTGTTGATGTGACCCAGGCTGCTTTCCCCTCAGTCGTATCAGCCTTCTTGTCACCCAGATCCTTCCTACCATCCTGCTTTCTGTCAGTCCTGAATGGTCTGACAGCCTGGACCTCAGCAAGTGTTCCTTCTTCGGTTTATCACCCTCCTGCACATTTTTGTCTCCTAAGTAAGATCTCATAACAAGTACAGGCCTGTACCCGAAGGATTGAACCATTGATGGGAAGACTTGACTCATGGTTCTTCAGGTAGATGAGAAGAGGGGAAAACTGTTCACAGTAGTGTTCTCGGCTTTGTCCATGGCCAGGCGGACACCAGCAGATCCACCTGGCTTTCTTCTACCTTAAACATGCCCTAGCTTACTCAAGTCCTTCCGCACTTACAATTCAACCCCTTCAACTCTTATATCTTTGGTTTCCAGCATCCAAACCTCATAGTCAGAAAATGTAATAACAATGCTAATAAGTAATCCAGCCAGTTATAGTAACTATTAAAAATCACTTCTGGTTTGTTTTGTGTTTTGTTTTGTTTTGTTTTTTTAAAATTATTAAATGTTGTGAAGGAAATGGGAGAAAAGCCTTGTGACTCTTGGGGAGGGAGGGGGGTGGAATAAGGTGAAAGAGAGAACAGTAATTTTCATGGAAACCACTTAGACCTTTTTCGTATCAGGAATGGTAAATGCGGTCTTATTTGCTTTACGAATGGCACGAACTCATGCACAAGCGTTCTTTTACAGCAAGTCAGTGGGAAGTGGCTTACAGCGGACCCGCGACAGAATACACCTTCAGCCACTTGAAACCAGGCACTTTATACAAACTCCGAGCATGCTGCATCAGTACTGGTGGACACAGTCAGGTCAGTTCTGTTTCGGGGTGACGTAAGTCAGGGCAAGCCTGTTTATAACATCAGAAGGGAGCTGTGATCTTTAGAAACGCATCCTGGAATTGCAGGCCTCCGTGGTTGCATAGCAAGCAATGAAAAATAGAGCTTCTTGCAATTGCGGTTGAGAGGATCTGAGAGATGGCTCCCCTGGTTCCCAACTAAATTGTGGTACTTTTAGGGCACATTTGTCACTAGGTTATTTTTCAGAAGACTTTGTCTTGACAATTGGAAATTTGAGTGTTGTCTGGAAGGTACATTAGCTAAATTAGGGGCCTCGGTGAGCTAATAGCATTGATGGAAAAGCATAGATTTCAAAATCAAAGAGATGTCCCCTCCACAGTTCTGCTTCTGCCATTTCTAGCAATTCTGTAAGCACTTGAGACATACACTTTCCTCACGGGTACCCTCCTGGCATCTGCTGAAAACACATCTCCGTCTCGGATAACCAAGCCGAATGGTGCCTCCTTCAGGGCAGGACCTAGCCTGCATACCTGTCGGTGGTGGCCCTCCTCTTGCTGTCCAGTTCTTTTAACAGGTTACACCAGTTAGCACGTCTGCAGCCTCAGTTCAGAGCCCACTGTGTTCTTCTGGTTTAAAATAACTGGTAAGATATAGGAGGCATGCTAGAAGTGAGGTCATTGTCATCTGCGTGGCTTTAACTTAAGAAAAACAAGTGTCAAGAAAGGAAAAGAACCTTTTCGTTATAGAGATGTTTTAACATGACAAGAACCAGTTAATATTTTTAAAAGCAGAGGTCACTTGTAGTCTCATGCTAGTTTGACTTCTCAAGAGGGTACCCACCTGGCAGGTGACGCCTGATTTTTGTTTTCTTAGGTACTCACTGTGCTTTCAATGTGTACTTGAGTTTATTTTCATTCCTTCTCAAGGATAGTGGCCCTGTGGCATCTAGATTGCCTATATTGACCAACTACTTGGAGAAGGACGTGCAGGTAGACTATCGGTAGGCAGTGCTTTAGGACGCCCATTGGGATGAAGTACACTCAGTCACAGCCACACAGTACTGTGGGCCTCACCTGGGCCATGAGCCACATGTGTGGTGCTACAGAGGACAGCACAGAGGTGCACTTCTGGCAGTTATAGAAAGTGAACCTCTCTGTCAACCACTTTCTCTCAGAAAGATTTACTCTGATTGATTTTCAGAAGACTGTACGTTTGTTGTGTTTTGTTTTGGTTTTTTCTTTAAAGATAGAGGTTGGCTTCTGTGCTACCAACTTTATGTAGCCCCGATCCTGCAGAGGCGGAGGCCTAGTTATTTCAGCGAGAGCACAGCCTGGTGGTTAATGTTAGACTCAGTTGATTGATATTGACTTTACTTTGTGTCGCTTTTCCAATGTAGATGGTTGGCCACTTACGACACTGTTACAGCTTTTCATCTAGCTTTTGTTCTGTGTTCTTTTCTCTCCTCATAAGGGATCTAATTTGGGTTTAGAGAATAGAATTGTGTATTTAGGATACACAGCATTCCTGTCTACCAATCTAGCTTTAGAAATTATTCTTATTTTTACCAGTTCCATATTTGCAATTAAAATAGGCACCGTCTTGTCACAGGAAACGTACAGTGCCGTGCATGCATTGTATCATCTTTTGAGTTACATGTACATTGATGAGGTGGAATCTGCCTGCTGTAGCCTGCTGTGCATCTATAGTACTAAGCAATGCTTCTCTGTGTTTCCCTGCAGTGTTCTGAAAGTCTCCCTGTTCGCACACTGAGCATTGCACCAGGTCAGTGTCGACCACCAAGGGTTTTGGGTAGACCAAAGCACAAAGAAGTCCACTTAGAATGGGGTGAGTGAACAAACCTTCTCATTGACATTGACAATTTGAGATTAATGTTTAAGATTTAATGGCTTGTCATTTTTACGTCTTCCTTCTGAAAGCCATTGTTTCCTCCTATTGTAATTATCTCCACTCCTCTAATTTTTGTTGGTCTGGTGCTGTATTTCCCTGTACACTATCACTTATGTTTTTATTCCTAATGGTACCTTGTTTACCTTCTGCCTCTTGGAAGACACTCTTCCAGAGAATATTTCAAAGCAGCCAGTCTTTAACAGGGATTTTTAAACTTTGTTCATAAAAAGGTTGTGTGTAATTTAAAGATTTAACCTGGAAATGTGTAACAGCGTAATGCGAGTTCTTCTTCTCTGTGTATGACCTTGCTGCTTTGCTGGGTGCAGCCCTGGAGATGTGGCTTCTTGTTGTTGTTTTCTTGGCTATTTTCCCAGTATATACTCAAGCTATGTTACTACTAGCAGTTTACAGAATGTTAAATTGCGAGTATAAACCTATTGACCTATTTTATTCCTTTGTGTCTGAAACAAAATACTATGCCAATTTTATATCGTACATCTTCATTTAGCAAATCAATGGTCATGATCTTTGGCTTTAAGTTAAAGAGAAGGCTTTGATTCCTCCATTTTTCCCTCCTTCCTTCACTTTGCATGTAAGGAAATTTTCTCAGTGCTTCCTATTGCTTTGAAGTAATTTTTTATTAACAAATTGTGTTGTTCATTTTTTGAAGGGGGATTGCTTTTTATTTTATTTTTTTATTTTTTTGTGTGTCTACTGTCAAATCGGATTTATTATTATTATTATCATCATCATCATAATCATTATTTTGTGTGTGTGTACCGTCAAATCAGATCTGACTGGTGCAGGAGGAGATTGCCCCTCCTCCTCCAGCAGAGCATCTGGTGGATTCGAACCGCTCACCTCTGGGACTGCAGTGCAGCTTCTTGCCCCTAGGCCCCCAGAGCTCCCTGGAGGGTTGCTTTTTTGAGGGAGCCCCTCAGGACAGGTCCCCCACACTTTTGAAAGCTAGGTCATTGTCATTTAGACATCGAGAGAGGAGCACGATGTGCTGAGATGAAAATGGTTCTCGCCCGCAGACGTCCCTGCCTCCGAGAGCGGCTGCGAGGTCTCCGAGTACAGCGTGGAGATGACGGAACCCGAGAACGTGGCGTCCGAGGTGTACCACGGACCCGACCTGGAGTGCACCGTGGGCCACCTGCTTCCGGGGACTGTGTATCGTTTCCGGGTCAGGGCGCTCAATGATGGAGGGGTAAGTGGAGGCCCTTCCGCCAGGCGCGAGCCCGCCTTCCCGCTGTCATCGATCCGTTCCCGATCGCCCGTAGAGACGCGGGTGTAAAGTCTTAGGTCTGGATTCCGGCTTCCTGCCGACTCAGCCCTAGGAGTTGACAGTTCATCTCAGTCCATCAAAGTAGAGCCCGGGGAGCGTCAGAGCGCCCTCCTGCGGGTGACGAGCCGCGCTGCAGTCCCGAAGGCGCACGGTTCGAGGCCCCCGGCCGCCCCCGGGAGAGTGGTCTCCTCTCGTGCGATCGATGCCCCTGCGGATGGTCAGCGGGGCAGCCCCCGTCCCTGGGGCTCAGCACCAACAGTCTTGTTCAGAGCTGAACCTTTGTGAGATTTTACATCCTCCTCTGTGTTCTGGTGGACGGTCAGTTCCTGGACCTCAGGACCATGGAATCCTGACTCCAGCGCTGCCTTAGCCTGGTTTTGGATTTGGGCAGGGATGGAGGCCGGACAGGCCAGCTTCTGTTTCAGTGTCCAGTTCCAAGGGTGCTCCCCAGCCCTCCTCCTCCTCCTCCTCCTGCATGTGGAGCTGTCAGGTTGACCTGTCAGCCTGTGTTACATGGTTAGGGGCCTTCAGGCTAGAGAACACTCAGAGGGGACCCTCCACGTGGGTTTTCAGAGGCTGTCACAACCTCCTCTCATGGGGCAGCAGGCGGATCCCAGCTGCCAGCCTTTGACAGGCAGAACAGCCCCTTCCCACAGGCCACCAGCAACCCCCCTCAGAATATATCCACGCTTCTGTTATAGCCACAAGCCACGTTACACCTCACAGAAGTGTGGCATCAGGATTGGGGGAAGATCCATCAACAACCTGCATTGTGCAGATGACACAACCCTGCTTGCTGAAACTGAGGAGGACCTGAAGTGCTTGCACTTCAGTCAAGGACTGCAGCCTTCATTCAATTTGAACTAAAGCTCAATATCAAGAAAACAAGGATTCCCACCACTGGGCCAATTGACAGCATCGTGATAGATGATCAAGAGAATGAGATTGTTCACAGCTTTAGTTTGCTTGGCTCCACAGTCAACACTCTTGGTATAAGCAGCCAGGAAATTAAAAGAAGAATTGCATTGGGAAAGTCTGCTGTCAGAGACCTATCCAAAGTACTGAAGAGCAACGATGTCAGCCTGGGGACTAAGGTGCACCTGATACATGTCATGGTCTTTGCAGTCACTTGCTGTGCATCAGAGAGTTGGACAGTGACTAGGGAGGATAGAAGGAGAATTGATGCCTTTGAGCTGTGGTGTTGGAGAAGAATATTGAATATACCATGGACTGCTAAGAGAACAAACAAGTTCGTCCTGGAGAGAGTGAAGCCAGGCTACTTCTTGGAGGCAAGGACTCTGAGGCTTCATCTGACATACTTTGGACATGTTGCAAAGCGGGACCAGTGCTTGGAGAGGGACGTCATGTTTGGGAGGGTGGAGGGACAACACTGGAAAGAAAGACCCTCAATGAAATGGATTGGTTAAGTGACTGGGATAATGGGGGTGGGGGTGTCAGAGACAATAAGATTAGCAAGGGATAGAGCAGAGTTTAGGCCTGTTGTACACAGGATCACTATGAGTCGCAAGCAACTCAACTGCACATAACAACAGTTATAGCCACAAAGTAGTGCTTTCGTTTATTTCATTTTGTTATCAAAAGAAGGTCCTGTCAATTTGATACATTTCATTACGAGATCTCGGTAACCTAGAAACTGGAGCTATTTGCTTTGCGAGAAGTGGATAGAAACATAAATGAGGGCAGCATGGTGTAAGCAGAGCTGTGCAGTGCAACCACCTCCCTCCCAGTTACCTGTATTACAGGTGAGGGAGTAGAGGAGTTCTGTGCAGATGAGTAGATGCATCATGGGGGGTGGGTGTGACTGAGACTATGAGACTGGATAGATACGGAACAATAACCATTCATTCATTCATTCATTCATTGTAAAATAATAAAGTCCTCCTGATTTGCTATACAGAGGTAACTCATGCTTACTGTGAAGCTGAATATTGTGACATGATGTGTCAAATGTGATAATGGTCACGCATGGTGGACAGTGTTTGGTGGAGCTCCCCAATTAAAACAAGTTTGGAAACAGGAGTGACATCCACTTCTGAAACAGCTTGCCTCCAGAAACTATTAACGTGGAGAAACGATGAAAGTTATACAAGCGTTCAAGTCTTTAATTCATAGGGTTGCTATGAGTCGTCTACAGCTCAACGGCACACAACAACAACTGACACCAACCTGACAATGATTCCCCCTCCTCATTCTTTACACCAGTTCCATGCAAGTCACTAACTGAAAGTTTAACTCCTGATCATTAGAAGCTTGATTTCTAAACCAAACAACAACAAAATTTCGTGAAAGAAGAGTGGATGGTTGCCAACACAGATGCTCCAGCAATTATTTGACTTGTTTTTCCCCTTTCCCTCATCAGCATTTGAGGAGATCTCTGGCCCAAGGGAAAAAAAAAAGTACAGCTAGGTTGGTTCATTTTCCCCTTCTATTGATTAATAGCAGAAATCAAATCTCATCAGCTTTGATTTACTGTTATATTGAAGATACACTCAGATATTTTTCAGAAAAATAAAATGCCCTCAAGTAACATTTGCAGATTATATTAAAAAACTGAGCAGTTATTATTTCAAATTGTTTCCATTTTGAAAAGCCTTCTTTATTAGCCTGGAAATGATCTTATTTTGTTCTTTGCCACAGTGATACTCTCTGAAGTATTATCTGTTCCCTATTAAAAAAGGCAGTTACAGCTCTCAGAATTATTACTTGGACAAATTCACTCTTGGAGTTAATAACAACACTCTTAGCAAGTTTCCAAGGCTGTAAATTTCTACCAGAGGAGACTTTTGTCTCATGGTAGATTTGAACTCCTAATCTCTCAGCAGCCCAGCACATAACATACTTTGTCACCAAGGCTCCAGAAAATACAGAAGAGAACAGTGTATAAACCTTTAAAAAATGAGATCGTGGAGACATCCTGAAGAAAATGTTACAGGGACACTAGATTGACAAGTACAAAATACCAATAACTAGAAGGAAACTTTGAATTTGTTAATCAACTTAAAAAATTTTTATGCATTAAAAATGAAATTTGAGTGTGTCTTCATTGAAATAATACCAGATACGTTAAATCAGAATGATACAGTCTGTCAAGAATAAGTGTGTTTTCCTTTCTGATGCTATAGTAGTGAAAGAAAAAAACATTGGTATGCCAGCTTTCTTTTCCTTTTGAAGAGAAAGAATACATAGGGGAAAATAAAAGAAAACCATATTGATGCATATTCAATTGAAACTAAAAGCCATCGGTCATATTTTTTGAAATAAATTGTTTGATGATCAGCCATTGGTGATTCAGTGGTAGCATTCTCACCTGCCGTTCAGAAGACCCTGGTTCGATTTCCTGCCCATACGCAGGCAGCCTCTTCGCCAGTAGAGGCTTGCATATGACTCTGATCCTGTATGTTTCGGTGGGGTTTCCCGGCTGAGAGAGATGAGAGTGATCTGGTGATCTGTTCTAGCCAAGTCATAGTGATAGAGCAGGGTCTCACCATGAGGTGCAGGATAACTGGACAAACTGACAGCCCCTCATGTGTCCCTGAACATGCTCACACATTCACCAAAATACATGCTCATGCGAGATGTGTGTGGTTTTGTTTTTCAGTACGGTCCCTATTCTGACGTGTCAGAAATCACCACTGCCGCGGGGCCCCCTGGACAGTGCAAAGCACCTTGCGTTTCTTTCACGCCTGACGGATGGGTCCTCGTGAGTTGGGAGGTACGTCCGGCATGTGCGCTGCTGTGGCTCCGCTGCCTCCTGCATCACCCCAGGTGAAGGCGGTGATGAACCCGCAGAGATGATTCCCGCCTCCACACACAGCCGTTTCCCTTCGCACTGGTTCTTGTCATTTGGGCTTGTGAACATTTTACCTCTGAATATAACGGAAAGGGATTGAGTATGTCCCTTTCAGGCGGTTTATATGTCTTTGAAATATCATGGGACATCACGTACATTTTCCTAGTTGGTTGAACACAAACACGGTAGGATTTTATTCCAGCTGGCGTTACCAACAGCTTACACGTGTGCTTTGCAGAGTCCTGAGAGCTCCGGAGCGGACATCTCGGAGTACAGGTTGGAGTGGGGAGAAGACATGGACTCCCTAGAACTTGTTTATCAGGGAACTGAAACCTGCTTCGAAATCCGCGAGCTGTTGCCTGCTGCACAGTATTGCTGCAGACTCCAGGTGGGTTGGCATTCGCTCAGATTTCGCTTATCAATGCTGGGGGGCCCATCGCGGAGACAGTCGGATGCAGCTGATAGGTCAGAAGGAAAAACGCTTTAAATTAGGGCTTGGGGTTTTTCAATTAAGGGTTTTTTTGTGTAGAAGATCCTGATATTTAAGAACAAAACCGCATTCTTCCCTATCCTTTTTCCTGCTACCCTTACTTCTTGCTTGTCGACTCACTGAGTACAACGGGCCAAGGCCTCGGGGAAGGCGGGACAGCTCTCCAGGCAGTTGTCTTCAGGCTGGATTCCCAGGGGATGCACATTTCAGTGCAGAAGACACTTACACAGACTTGGAAAAGTACAGAAAAGTCAGGTGTCTAAATAGAGCCAAAAACATATGCTAAAGCAATTTGGATTGGCCTATATCAGATTACAGGCCCTTAACTCGCACCTCAGTGACCCTAATCAAGGCTGTTTATCTCTAACCACCAGGAGACCAGATGCAATAAGATCTAAAACAAAGTTACTGAGTCATAGTCTCCCCTCTAAGAATGATAATCAACTTGGCCTTGCTTTTAATTCCTGTGATTGACTTGTATAGATCATTCCCTCCCCTCCTCTTTGCATAGTCTTATTATCTTGATGAGAAAATAGAGATCATTGTCCATTTATTTTGTCCATTTATTTCCATGTATCCAGTAACATTTATGGAGAATCACTTTGTGCCAAGATCAAGGACGATCAAGATGTTCAGAATCAGAACACAGAAACTAATCAGATGTGGTTTGACCTTGAAGCCTTCTTCCTTCGAAGGCATTTGCATTTAAATAAATAAAGCCGTTTGCTTTAAGTTGCCACCTGATTGAGGCCATGAATCAAATTGGTGGTTCCAAGTATAGCTTTCCATTTCTCAGCTCTCAGCCTTCTTCAGAGAAAACATTGCCTTCGTAAGTTAATTTTCCGGGTAACTGAAGCTTCTCTGTTAAATTATGAAGGCTGCTTTATTGGCAACATTTCTGTTTGAATTCCTATTATATACTGTCCTTCCTGCCTTCTCTCCTGGAGCACATGGGACATAACTAAGCTTTTGTTGATGCGTCAGGGTCGCTGCACGTTACCTGATCTTTACAGAGTGATGCTCAGTCACTGGGAAGGGGTCAAATAACGTGCCACAGCGTTGGTAGGAACAAGGCAGTATGTAAATAAGGACTTCCCTGCCGTCTCAGTAAGTAGCCTCATTCTACTCTGGGGTTGCTTTTTTAATTCTTTTTATGGACTGAGAAATAGTGGTACAGTCACATGATGGAATATTATGCAGCACACAGAAGTAATGATTTTGAAAAATGTTACATAGCAGTGGAGAAGTTAGCATTATGTTGAGTGAACTTACTGAGTTTCATAAAGACAAATACAACTAAGACCATTATTGTAAATATAGAAGGATAACTAGGAACGTGTGGACAAAAGTCCAGACGGGGAAATGGGAGGGAGGAGGGCAACCGAGGGTAAAGGAGGGGGTCAAGAGGTCTACTCTGCTTTTTGCATCTTTTAATCTCTTTGAAATGTTGTTCTAGTTTCCTTCTTCCTTTTATGATGATGTATTCATTCAATACTAACTTCCCAGAATCGTATCTCAAAACACGTGCTTATAAGGAACCAAGCCTGCATAACATTCTTATCTTCTTGTTTTGGGATATTTTGTTGTTGGGTGTCATAACGTTGACATAACAACACTATGAACAATAGATAGAAACATTTAATATTTCCACATGTTTACTTTTTTATTGTAAAATGACATGGACTTTATGAAGGTGACAGTTCTTTTAAAACCATCATTGCTATGCCAAAGAGATGTTGTTATTTTTGCATACCATAGAGTCAGAACCGACCCATAGCTGACCCTCTGGTGGGTTTTCAGAGGCAGTTAATCAAACGGGAGGAGATTCCCCATCCTTCTCCCGCAGAGCAGCTGGTGGCCTTGGACCCTGTGCCTTCGGGATTACACTACAGCTTCTTGCCACTAGGCCGCCAGAGCTCCCTAATGCTAAAGAGATGTTGCCTAGAAAGGGTCTTCCCAACCTATGTTGTTTTTTTGCTGTTGTTATTATGTGCCGTCGAGTCGCCTGAGACCCATAGCGACCCTACATACAGCAGCTCTGAAGCCTACCCTGTAATGAGCCAGTCTCACTGACTCCAACACACCAAAATAATGAAGAAGCTCTGAACTTTGCTCTCAAATGTACAGAAGCTAAAGCGAAGGAAGAAGTGATGAGAAGACATTTGTTCTAGAATGTCGGGAAGCTGAAGAGAATGGAAGAAATGATGAAGAGAACTGTCCATGAAGATGTCAAATGGCCAAGAAGATAAAGGAAAGCATTATAATGCAAAGTGGACCTAGAGTTAGAAAACCAAAAGAGAAGAACACAACATTCCTCAAGCTGAAAGAACTGGGGGAGGGGTTAGGACTGCGAGCCTCAAGTTGGAATAGTTAAGGATCATGAGAGGAAAATGTTGAATGATACAAGAAACATCTGAAGAAATACGCAGAATCACTGTACCAAAAGCAATGGTTGATGCTCAGTCATCTCAGAAATAGCAAATGATCAAGAACCGGAGTGATGGTGATGGTGGTGGTGGTGGTGGTGGTGGTGGTGGTGGTGGTGGTTAGGTACCATGGAGTCGCCTGCGACTCATAGCCACCCTGTGTACAGTAGCTCTGAAGCTGGCTCTATCCTGAGCCAACCTCACCATATCCGGCACACCTACCCCCATTACTCCAGTCATTGAGTCAGTCCATCTCATTGAGGGTCTTCCTCTCCTTGCAACATGCCCAGCGTATGTCAGACGGAGCTTCAGAATCCTTGCCTCCAAGGAGCGGCCTGCTTTCACCCTCTTCAGGATGAAACTGTTTGTTACCTTAACAGTCAGTACTCTTCTCCCACAGCTCAGAGGCTTCAGTTCTTCTTCCGTCATCCTTCGTCATTGTCCAGAACCAGTGGTACTAAGGAAAAAGTCCCAGCTGAACTGAAGGCATTGAAGAAACAGCTCTAGGGTGTGGTGAATACCACTTGAGATGTTTCAAGAAAGAGATGCAACACTAAGTGTGCTCACTTGTCTATGCCAACAGCTCTGAAGAGAGTTAACCAAATGACTGATGCATGTCTGTGCACATTCCAAGGAGAGGAGATTCAACAAGAGGAAGAAATGCCAGATCAATGGATTAATAACGTGGTGCTGGTTCTGCTGGTGTGAACTGTTGAGCTGGAACTTCACCGCTGACCCTCCACCATGTTAAATGCAAGTAAAATCTTGCTGAAAATGATTTAAAAATTAAGCAGTACATGAACTCAAGAAGTCAAGGTGGATTGTCTTAAAGATAAAAATTATCATTGCTGACATCCGATGGAGCTGAGCTAAAATCGGAAAATAATTAGAAAAAAATATTTACTTCTGTTTCATTGACTATGCAAAGGCATATAGTATGGATCAAAACAAATGGTGGATAACAAACATTGCAAAGAATGGGCGTTTTAGAACATTTAAATTGTACCCCCATGGAGCCTTCTCCTAGACCATGATGCAGTAGTTGAACAGAGTAAGGGAATACTGCATGGTTTACAGTTAGGTAAGGAGTACATCAGCATTGTATGCTTTCTGTATACTTGTTGAATTTGTATGCGGAGCAAATAATCTGAGACCCTGCACTATAACTCAGCGTAAGTTTTAGAGTACTCCTCATTAACAGCATGTGACATGCAAATGACACAGCCTTGCTTGCCAAAAAACAAGACTTGAAGCATTTGCTAAAAATGTGTGAAGACTACACCTCAACATCAGGAAAACAAGCATCCTTACAGCTGGGCCAGTAAACACCATCGTGATAAACGGCGAAAAGATAGAGTATGGTAGTCATTTCCGTTTACTCAAATCTACAACCAGTGTCTATGGGAAGAAACAGAGTTCGAATTGCAGTTTCACCAGTAAAATCTGCTTCAAAAGAGCTTTGTAAAATGCTCATTCAGAGTCACTCCTGTCCGGTTTGTTCTGCCTCACACAGAACCTGAGTTTCTGAGGCTGTAAATCACAGTGAGAGATTGGTCATCCTTCTCCGGAGGAACAGAGTGTACATTCAACCACCCGAGACGCACAGCTTTTGCGTTAGGAGTGCAGCTCCCTGCAGCACATGCCACGAGAGCTCCCTTAGAGTGCTGCAGACCTGGACAGAACTTCAGAACTAAGGTGTTCCTGACCGGAGCCATAGCATTTTCAGTTGCATCACACACACGTGAAAGTTGGGCAATGAATAAGGAAGACGGAAGAAAGGATGCCTTTGAATTATGGTGTGAGCAAAGAATTTTGAATATCCCAATAACTGCTAAAATTCCAGGCAAATCAAGCTTGGATCCAGACTGCTCCTGAGAAGCAAGGGTGGTGAAACATCTCTCATTCTTTGGAAATTTTATCAGGATGGTCGAGGCCCTGGAGAAAAACATGGTGCGTGCGAAAAGAGAGGGTCGGTGAGAAAGAAAGAAGACGCTCAACGAGATGGATGAGCACTGCCTTGAGCAGTGAACCCTGTCACAGCATTCACTTTGAGGATGGTGCAGGGTCAGACAGAGGTGCGCACGCGGTCGCTGCTCTTCAGAGCCCACTCAGTATCCTCCACAACCGTGAACTCCGTCCCAGCACTGACTGAGGACTGTGTACAGACAGACAGAGGTGCGCACGCGGTCGCTGCTCTTCAGAACCCACTCAGTATCCTTCACAACAACATGCTCATGATACAACTGAGGAAGCAGAGTCTGTCTGCTAAGATCTTCCAGTTAGTAAATCATGGCAGCGCGCCTTGGACCTGGCTTTGATTGGACAATCATTTTCTTTCTCTTTTAAATGATACTATAAATCTTTAGCTGGTATCGGCAGTAGGTGTTACCGTATCTTATTTTTCTGTCCCTGTCATATGTGATGAGAATATGACTCGCCAATTAATTGTGATGTTAATTTTTTTCCCAAAAAGAGAATTGACGTATTATCATGAAGCAGGACTAGAGAAAACATTACAATTGAGTTTCAGCTTTTATTTCAATGCTGTTAGTCTGTTTTGACATTAACGATAATGACAGAGACTTAAGTTTTGTTTTAGACTTATGATTTATGAGCTCAGACTAATTTCCTTTAGTTTTATCATTTGCTCTCATAAACCTTCCATATGGAATGAGTGAGAACAGAGTTTTAAATACATTTACTTTTCCCAAGAGGCTGCCAGATGTTTTTCCTATATGTACATGGTTGACTTATATTGAACACACAGTCTGTATAAGGTTCTGGTCTTGCTGGTCATGATTCTAAAGTGAACCAAAAAGACGGTCTTGGAGCTTTGTTTCTAGTCAGAAGAACAAATAAAAGACATCCTATTTTAGGGACAGCTGCAGTGAAGAATAAAATAGCAAAGAAGGAAATTAGACTAAGAACACAGATTTGGAGGAGGTGTGTTGTAAGCTAAATCTGGCTTCCAGAGGGAACTAACTGCAGAGGTGGCACTAGAGACTAGAGCAGATGCCTGAGCAGGCTGTGTGTATCTGAGGGGGAAGGTGTTTTGGAAGAGGAACTAACAAGTGCAGAAGTCTGAGGTGGGTGCAAGCTTGGGGTCCTTGTAATACAGCCAGAAAGTCTACATACCCGGAACAGAGTAAGTGAGAGGCCGAGTGGTGAATGATAAAGTCAGGTGGTAATGGGGGGCGTGGTGGTAAGTAGACTGGTTTTATGTGGGTTATTACGAAGACTTGGGAGTCTGTGCTGAATGAGATAAAGAGGGTGCTGGGGGAAATGTGGACTGAACACCTCGCCTAATGTTTAACAATTCAACTCCTGTTTAACAATATTATTTAGGTTTCTTTGAACATAGACTAGAAGACAAACAAACAAGGGCAGAATACAGATTCTGGAAAGACCATCGCAGTAAGCAAGGCTGTAGTTAGAATGTGCTGCTGGCCTTGAGAAGCTGTCCAAGGGTGGCTTGAGATTGTGACTTGACTAGAAAGGTGGAGAAATGTATATAGCAGGTGTGGGGTTTGAGAAGCACGGGGCAGAGATGGGAAAACGCAGTGCCAGCACTTGAGTTTGAGATGCCGGTTTAACACACATGTGGAGAGAGTCGTTACACAGTGACTATGCTAGCTGAGAATTCAGGGTGAACATCTGAGATAGTTCTTAATGTCAGAGATGGCATTTGCCTCGGGACAGGACAGGATGTTCAGAACTTGGAGTAGAGAGTAGAAGAGGGGATGCCCAAAGACGGATCCAGATGCTGAGGAGAAACCAGCGAAGGTGACTGAGAAGTGGGTGGAAGGAGACGGGAGCAGTGGGTCTCGGACACCGAGTGTAATGATTGAAAGAGCGGCGCTGCTCTCAGGCAAAGGGTAAGAGGTTAGGAATTGACTGCAAATGGATACTTATTGTTTACCTGAGCAGTAGTAGATACCATTGGAAAAATCACAGGTGCTCTGTGGATGAAAGAAGGACAGTGTCTCGCTGTGATGTTTACACCCTCTGAAAACCTGCAGAGCATCAACTCTGACTTGGTTCCAGTTTGACAGCAATGAGTTGAGATTATTCTCGGGCATCCCACGTGGTAAAAACCAACTTAACTGATCCCCAGCTGGCTTCCAAGTCTGGGACCTGCAGCATTTAATCTGACTCCAAAAGTATTCCTCTCTAAAATTAGAGTGCATTTTATACCTAGCTCGTTACTGTCGAGATCTCCACAGACATTTGTTGTTGCATACTGTAGAGTTGGAACCGACCCACAGCTGACCCTCCAGCAGGTTTTCAGAGGCCGTTAATGACACGGGAGGAGATTTCTCATCCTCCCACGGAGCAGCTGGTGGCCTCGAACTGTGTGCCTTTGGGATTGCAGCGCAGCTTCTTGCTACAAGGCCACCAGTGCTCCCTCCTCGGACAGGGGATGTGCTGAAATTGGCCATGCAAGCCTGATATGTTGCTATAAGATGATTTTTCATAAGAGATGATGACGTTGATGTTACCTTCTGCTTCACTAACATGTAATATCTTTGCCGTTCTTTGGAAAAGGGGTCATTAGGAGATGTTTTCTTGACTTTATGTCTGCGTGTGCCATTTGGAGGTAAATTGTGTATGATTACCTTAGGTTTGTTTGATCGCACCAGCCTAAATTAGGATACGCTGTGGATGTAATGTGAGCTTTGTCTTGCTGTTTTGTTCTCAGGCTGTCAACCAGGCAGGATCAGGGCCGTATAGTGAGCTTGTCCACTGCCAGACACCAGCATCTGCCCCCGACCCGGTCTCCACTCTCTGTGTCCTGGAGGAGGAGATTCTCAGCGCCTGCCCTGAATCACCGTCTGTGTGCCTTGTACTGAGCTGGGAAGAGCCGTGCAATAATGGGTCTGAAATCCTTGCGTACAACATTGAACTTGGAGACAATAGCATCACCGTGGGCAATACCACCACTCATGTCTTGAAGGATCTCCTTCCTGAGAGTACCTACAGGTGAGTGCCCTCTATAGCAGGGGGACCAGAAATAAGGCTGCTTGAAGCTACAAATATTTCAGGTTCCAAAGACTAGACAGGTATGATCTACCTGGCCTTAATATTTAAAAGAACTAATTGCAAATTTAGCTTAAAAACTTGTGCTGCTTTATACTTCAAAGTCAGTTACAAATTTGTAATCCCTGATCCCTGAAGTACAGTATCTACACCTCTTAATCAGTTCCACCTCTTGATAACCACTTTGTAGTGACACTGTGACTCATGTCCCTCCACGGACAGCCACAATTCCCACCCGTCCACTGGCCCATGTTATACTAGAGCCCACCAATCTTCTTATTTTCCAAAAGAACATGTAAATGTTTGTGACATTTCATCCATGAGGGACCAGAGAAGGAACGTTGTGTTACCTACCACCTCACAAAACTCAGCTGGGGCCCACATTTGCCACTGTTTCTTGGACCTCTCACTTCTTAAATTGTTTAGGTCCGACCCCCAGTTGCCATAACCTACTGAAAAGGGTTGTAATTTGTGAGGACTAAAAAAGGCAAAAAACCATCTGTGGTTATACAGGTCCAGGTGTGCCCTGTACTCCCCTGTCAGAGTAAACCTGGGTCATCACCTGTGTAAGCAGTTTAACCTCCCGGTGGGTTCATTTTTTCTCTAAGTTGAAGGGACCACAAGTGCTTCCCCCACAAAGATGGTGTGAGGGGTGAATTCATGGACGAGTGTTAGACCTGTTGAAATGCAGACGGTAGAGCCCCGGAGGATACTGGGAGTGCCTAATAAGCACTTTTCTTCATCACCATAAGGGTCACCATCCAACGGGTTTCTTCCTGGCATGGGAGACAGACAGTGAAGGCCCAGCAGCTAAATCTGCTGCTCTAGACAGAGTTGGTAATTACTTGTCTCTTTTCCCCTACAATATGTTCTAGTTCTGTAGTCCGATAGACTATACTTTTTCTCTTCAGAAGCTGAAGAAAGAAGTTTTAAGAGAAAAATGTTCATTCTGACAGTCATATTGTCTCTGCCTCTTTCTCTCTCTTGCCAAATCTTTGTTTTATGAGTAAGTCATGTAGATAAAGCTCCTTTTGCTTCTTAAACAATGACAGGTTTGTTGGTCGTTTTATTCTTTTAAGAAACATCTTCTGTGCAGGTTACTGTATACACTGTGGGGTTTTAAAGCAGACGAAGCTTAACCCAAACCTTTAGCTTTCTCACAAGTTGGAAAACTATTAAATCGCAATCCACGATAGTAGGTGAATCTGACACCACATGATGAAAGTAGCCCTGTGTGCAAGTACTGCTGGGTTTTACAGAAGAACATGCATGGTTGAGAGCGGTTAAAGGTAGTGAACAAAGGAGGGTGAGCTTTCACAGAGCCAGAGTGGCCAGAGGAGGGCGTGTTTCCTTTCAGCCAGTCCTCGAAAGCCAGTCTTCCCCGTTCCTGCTTGCTGACCAAAGGTGTAGGGCCTGAGTGTCCAGAGCTCCCTGATCAGGCGGGGCACACCAGACCTTGTCCTCAGGGCCGTTCCCGGCAATAATGCACAAGGAAACCCGACCTGCAGATCAGTGGCTTCTCACCTTTCCTGTCTCCAAAAGTGCCAAAAATAGGAGTGAGTGGATCACAATTTCTAGTTAAAAAATGTAAAGTGAAGCATTTTAAAACTGGCCATGGTGCTTGAATAAAAGACTTGGGGTTTTGTTTGTTTGGAGGATTAGTTTTTGTAGCCTTCAGAAGTTATATATTGTCTTAGCCTAGGTTCTCTAGAGATGTAAAACCAACAAGTTAAATAAGAACTTGACATATAAAGAGAGAAGTTTATTTCAAGGCAGGGCTCACACACTTGGAAAGACTGGTATCAGAACTCGGGAGAAAGGTGTCCATGGTGACCGACAAGTCCACGGTTGGCAGGCAGGGCGGGAGACAGCAGCTGTCTTAGCCATAGAATTCATTCATGTGTTCCACGCAGACCACGCTCTTGACTTCCCGACATCAGATCAAAGCAGATCATACCATTATGTAACGGCCTCTGGTCAGCCTCATTAAACTCCTGGAGGTAATGACTCGTAACATATTATGAATGTGTTATAAATGGGTCCATTATACTGAAGACGCTGTGGACACACGGTGTTAGCCATCACACACATTTTTCTTGCCCTGAAGAAGAAAGCCTAATAATCTGGAAGGGTTTTCCATGGATCCCTGGCTTTTCCGTTGGAGCCCACAGGAATAATCCACTCCCTTCATGACATTAGACTGGGGTTAGCATCCATTTTTTAAGGCACTAGAGCTGGGTTTGTAGTTAAATTTGTATTTTCGCCTTAGGAGAAAATGAACACATTAAAAATATGACCATTCCTTTCCTTTGCTTCCTAAGGCACAGTTTTGCCTTCTGGTGTTGGGGGACACCTGGTCCCCTCTTCCCAGTGTCTTGGCATACATGATCTTCTATTCTCCTGATAGTTCCATGATCTTCTATTCTCCAGACAGTTCCTTCCATTTTTATTTTCTAGTATTTATTTGCAAAATTCTAATACATTGTTTTCAAGAACAAATTCTTTCAAGATCCCTCCCCTCCCCATCAAGTTGTACAACTCTGTAATTAATCCCTCCTCGTCTACATCCCTCTGCTTCCAGCCTCTCCCTCCACTCTTGGATCCTCATACTCATTCTACAGTAATGGTCGTATACAGTATTTGTTCTTACAAAACTGAGTGAGTTCACTCAGCATGATGCTCTCCAGTCCCTCCTAAGTTAGATAATCATTTACAAAGTCATCGCTCCTGCGTGCTGCGGAGTATTCCATAGTATGAATGTACCACAATTTGTCAATCCATTCATTTGTGGTTGGACATATGGGCTGTTTCCATGTTCTTGAAATGGTGAATAATGCTGCTATGAACACTGGTGTACAAATCTCCGTTTGTGCCTCAGTTCTCATTTTCTCAGGGTATATTCCAAGTAGTGAAATACCTGGGTCACATGGAATATCTATGTTCAGCTTTTTGAGGAAGTGCCAAACTGCCCTGCAGAATGTTTGTACCATTTTACAGTCCCAGCAACAATGTACAAGAGTTCCTTTCTCACCACATCCTCTCCAGCATTTATTACTTGTGGCCCTGTTACACCTTGCCACTGTTACTGGAGTCACTGGCAGTAAGAGAGATGTAAATCAAAACCACAGTGAGGTATCATTTCACTTTTTAATGTGTTTATCTTTTGTCTGACTATCTAAAATCAGTCCAGTTGGCAATGGTCCTGTTTACAGCACAGATAGAGTGTGATCTCCGGACCAGTGGTTCGGTATCATCTTGACGTTTGTCAGGAAACTTGAAATCTTGACGTTTACTGAGTCAGAAACCGAAGGGATGCCTGCCGTCTACTTCCATTAGTCTTTGGAGAGATGTTGCTGTCCCAAGAGCTTGAGAACCCCTGTGCTAGAGAGGTGTTTTAAAAAAAAAAAAAAGTAAAATAATCACTCCAAGAGCTTTTATAAAATGTATTACAAAATACACCCCCCGCCACCCCCACGCCGGTCCCTGTAGTCTGCTGTTTGTGGGCAGGTATCAAGCATTACTATCTTAAAAGGTCGGTTGTGGCCCTGTGACCTGCTTCACTGCCTTCAGACCTGCCTTCGCCAGCGTGTCTTCTCTAACTTCCTCCGCCTGTTGTCCACAGGAGGCGTTCTGTTTCTTGATGAGCTTCTCAGTCCTTTGGCAGCAGTCTGTCCGGCCGGCCCGGGGACAGCATGCCCGCCACTTGCCATGTTCTCCCTGTCCAGCTCTCCGAACGTTGCTCTTTTCTGGCAACTTCATTATGTGTCTGACTCATTGGGCAGACAGCGAGAACCTCAGGTGGATTTGTTTTACACATTCGTGCTCTTCCAGCTAGGTGAAAAAGAGGACGGCAAAACAGCCTGGACTGAGCCCTTACTATATATGTCGGACTCCGTTAGGCTGCCAGGAAGTGACTCATTCACCATAACCACCGGGAGTGTTGGGGCACAGTTCTGAGTTAGTTCACAGGCAGCACACTGGAGACAAAACAGCCTTGGCTTCAGCCCGGAGCCCCTCATGTATCGTCGCCTTTGGCAAGTCCCCAAGCCTTCTGTGCCTTCTCGTTCATTTTAAAGGCGAACCAGAGCACCTAGTTTATGGGGAGCTGGATGCTAAACAGCTGAACCTTCCTAGGAGATTGACTCGACCAGCTGCCGCTCGTTGGGAAAACGGTGGCAGCTCCTTCCATGTGATTCCAGCCTTGGAAAATCACTGCAGGGCCATCCGAGCATCGGCGAGTGTGGGACCGAGTGCACAGAATGCATTAGCTGTTATTTTTTAATGTTGAGTGGGAAGAAGGGATCTAGAAAATGAGTTAGGGGTAAACTTAACTGTAGAAAAGCAGGTTTTCCTTGAAGCAGTGGGCCACTTTGAAAGTCTTTCCTTCTCAGGTGGAGTAAATTAGCATTCCTAGAGACTGAATGGTGGCACTGGTGACCAAGAGGCAACGCTTAGTTGTCAGGAGAGAGGACTGCAGAGTCAGCACGGGTCCCCTTCCAGGAAGCCCCTCTAACTGGCTCCAAGCACATCTCCGTACAAAGGCTACTTTAACTGTTGTTTTGTACTTCTGAGAAGTTACACAAAAGTTTCCCGATCATCCTCTTCAACGTTTTTCTCATCGTAATTAGATGAGATGCAGGTGTCCATCCTTGACTCCTTCGCCCTCTCTAACTCTGTCTCCCTCCTCACTCCTCCCCCCACCACCACCACCACCTCGCACTGGGGCAGCCGACATGATTAAGGAGTTCCACACGCAAGGACTGTTTGTTTGAAAGGCAATCTTCCGTTGTTGTTGCTGTTGTTATGTGCCATCATGTCTCCTGCAACCCACAGGGACCCTGTGTACAGCAGCTTTGACACCTTCTCTGTCCTGAGCCAGTCTCACTGACTCCGACACACCTACCTCAATCCATCTCATCCGAGGTCTTCCTCTCCGGCAGTGTCCCTCCACCCTTCGAGCATGATGTCCTTCTCCAGGGATCAGTCCTTCCTGGCTTTGTGCCCAAAGTATGTGAGACGGAGCCTCAAAATACTAGCTTCTGAGGAGAGACTTGGTTTCACCCTCTCCAAGACAGACCTGTTTGTTTTCTTGGCAGTCCATGGTATGTTCAAGACTCTTCTTCTGCACAGCTCAAAGACGTCAATGGTTCTTCTGTCATCTTTGTCATTGTCCAGTCCTCTGATATATAGCAAGTAGTTACAAAGACCATTGCCTGGATTAGGTGCACCTTAGTATATTTATTAAAGATGTTTTGAGCCTCCATATCCCATACTTTAGTCACATGGCCAGGAGGGACCAGTCCTTGGAGGAAGACTTCATGCTCGGAAGGGTGGAGGGACAGCATAGGTGAGGAAGGTCCAGCATGAGATGGATTGATACAGTAACTGGATTAATGAGGACAGGTGTGTCAGAGACAGAGATTGGCTCAGGATAGAGCAGGGGTCAGAGCCGCTGTTCAGTTGCTGAGAGTCATAGTCAGCTTAACTGCACACAACAACAACAGTGTATTTATGAGAAGAGAGTGTAGATGTGTATGAAGTATAGATGTTTATGATATTCGGTAACAAAGTTTGTGGTTGAGTAAATTTGGACTCCAGGTGACCCTGTGTTTACAGAGTACAGTTGCTGTAGAAGGGTTTCAAAGCTATAACCTTTGAGAAGCAGAATTCTAGGCCTTTCTTCCAACGTACCTCTGAGTAGGTTCGAATCACCCACCTTTTTGTTAACAGTTGATCACTTAACCATTTGTGGCACCCAGGAACTATTCTCCGTGTTCTGTACCGAGCAAGATGTCTTGGTCAAGACTTCCTCGGATGTGCTAGCAGTGGAGCCCAGAGTTGTTAAAGAAGTGAAGCTGGGAAATGATGGCAGGTCACGTGGTCAGTTGGGTCAGTTGTGGCAAGTGCCTGTATTCTACAGTGAAGACAGGATGCACCAGCAGGGGCTGCTGAAGGCGCTAGGGGCATGTAGGTCCGTGGCTGCCCTGGAAAAGCAGGCAGGGAAGTGGGCTCACTGAGGACAGAGGTGGTGAGACGGCGGCAGGAAGTTATGTTCTGCCACGGAGAACTGTTTCAGTCAGGTGGGAAGAATTTAGAGGAACAACAACAACAATAAGGAGGGATGATAATAGGACATTTAACTTGCTTCAGTTTTTACTGGTTAGCCCATAAGGGTGGTATTACTATATCTTTATTACCCATAAAACTATGCAGCCCCTAAGCATCCAGTTAAGATCTTTTAACGTGAGGCTGACATCACCGCTGACACTCTTAGCTGTGGTTTAGACTGTGAGGGGAGGTTGCTGAGAGGGAGAGGAGGAGAAATGCCCTCTAAGTGTTGAAGTTTCTGTGTCCTTGCTTTGAGCTCTGAAGAAAATGCTCATTCGCTTATTTATGCTCTACCCCTACCTACTTCCAAAACCAATTTTAGGATACCTAAGGGTGATTAGAACAAAACGGAAAGACATTTTTTCAGGATGCTTTCCATCAGACAACAAAGCTTTATTTTGTTTTAATTTTAAAACTGAGGGATACCTTGCAAACCTGGGCGCGGTGGCAAGAGGAGAAAGAAAAAAATGAAAAAAGTCACCTGTCATGTGTGGCCCAGGCCTGTTGGTCTGGAGTTGGGTTCACTACTTTTTATTTAAAATGTTGCAGGTGGCCAGAGATTAAATAGCTGAGATTTATATTAAGAATTTAAATGCAGTCCTTACAGCAGCTGACTGGTCAGTTACTGCTATAGGTTGATAATTACTCTTCTCATGTCATTGTTTTTTTTAAAAAAAAAACAAATTTCATTGTTTCATTTTACATGTGAGAATTTATATTCATTCTTTTACGCCTCTGGGATATTTAGTGTTCGTCTTTTGCAGAATAATGGTTTGATGGTTATAATTATTAAATGTCTTAAATACTAAAAAAAATGTTGCAGGTGAGACATCTTCTGTGGCATGTTTCTCTGAATGAAGAATTACTCTGCTTAACCCTGCATCCTCTGTTTTGTTTTGTTTTGTCCCCCCAGGATCAGAATTCAAGCTGTAAATGAAATTGGAGCCGGACCATTTAGTCAGTTTATCAAGGCAAAAACTCGGCCGTTACCCCCTCTGCCTCCGAGGCTAGAATGTGCTGCCGCCGGTCCTCAGAGCCTGAAGCTCAAGTGGGGAGACAGCAGCCCCAAGACGCATGCCGCTGACGACATGGTGTACACGCTGCAGCTGGAGGACAGGAACAAGAGGTGAGAGGGCGAGACCCCACGGCTCTGTGGCTGCCTCCCTGAGCCAGGTGTGGCTTGTTCTTCCGGCCTCTGAACTCCTTCTCGTGGAACAGCGCCTGTGGACATGAGCCCTGTATTTAATACCCACAGTTGTGCCCCCACCCCCCATCCTTAACAGATTTCTAAGCTAAGTGTTCTTTCTAATGACCCTCAACGTAATTGAGTATTGTTGGCTTCCCCCGCCCCCTTTTCACAAAGCCAGATAATGAAGAGAATTACCTCGAAGAAAATTGTCGCATTCAGATCTGCACTGTGTAATAATGTTGTATTAGTCACAAATGCACAGGAAAATAAGCCTAGAGATGTTGCTTCTTTAAATATTCAGCATCCCTCAGGACAAACATGTTTACCAGTGTGAACGGCTGTGGGTGATGTCCAGATGGGGACTGTTCCCCGTGACTGTGGGCGATGCAGTGTCATTAGAGCAAATAGGAGTTTTGTTAGGAGCCTCTGCCCAGGAAACACTCTGGGCTGTAGGAATCAAAGCCAGTCTTTCACTTAGTGGTTTTTTTTTGCCCTAACTTCATTTCCTTTGAAGATGGCCTATCAGAGGACAGCCGCTGAACTGTGTTTAGCAATAATTTAGATGCAGAGCCCTTTGCTAGTGACAGAATGTCCTGTTCCCCAAAGTTCAAGTGGGAGAATTGGTGGAAGGGGGCGGGGCAGGCCGTAAAGCCCAGCACGCCTGATGGGACCACCTGTCGCCTCTACCTGTGGGTCCTACTGCAGGCTTAAAGTGTGTCTGCCTCCCATCATGGTCCTTCTGTTCCTTTCCAAGGCAGCCAGGTCTAGTTACGCACAGACCCAACCCATCGTCCACCCTCACGCTCGTGCTTTGATCCGTGTCCTGCAGGGGGTGTCCTGTTGTGTGGGAGGTGGCCTTCAGGGCAGACCAAAATTAAGAAAAAAAAAGAACAGACCTTTGCCCCTGGGAACATAGCACCTTACACGTCACGGGGACATTCAGCCCCAGGAGAACGTGGTGCAGTGGTTTTAAGGAGGAGACATCACCCATCTAGTGGCAAAGTTCAGGAAAGACTTTGTTGAAGGGTATTTGGACTTGACTTTAACTGCAGTGATTTGACTGATGGAGAGAAAAAAAAACACCACTATAGTTGAATTGGGAACAAATTTGAGTTTAATTCCTATTTTTACTCATCCCCGGCTTTGGAAGCAGGAGTGGCATCTACTTCTAAACAACCTGTCTCTGGAAACTCTGTGAACGTTGATAAGTGTCGAGAGTTGTAGAGGGGCCTCAGGCCTTTTGTTCATAGGGTCACTATGCGTCGTGCTCAACTCGAAGGCAATCAACAACGACAACATCCCCAGATTATTGAGGTTACTGTGCTGTGTGTCTTTTGGTCAGATTTCACAGGTCTCTTGTCTAACTGACGGGGAATTTCTCATTTGGAGAAAACAACTGGAAAGAACAGGCAGTTGTAGACTAACAGCTCCGTAGACCATCTTCTGCCTGTTCTCCTGGGCTCTCCGCTTTTGCTGGTGGAGAGAGTGCTTTAGAGAACACCATCTTGTCAGTACTGCCTTACGGTGCCCGGCGGCTGCCTCACAGTGGGGAGAGCAGACGCCTCCAGACATGCCCGGCCTGTCTTGCTGTGCTCCCCGCATGGGAGGCGCAGTGGATGGACAGGGTCTGTCCCCCCCCCCCGTGGGAGGGGCAGTGCATGGACAGGGTCTGTGCCCTCCCCATGGGAGGCGCAGTGCATGGACAGGGTGTGTACCCCCCACCCCACCCCGTGGGAGGCACAGTGGATAGACGGGGTCTGTGCACCCCCCCACCCCACCCCGTGGGAGGCACAGTGGATGGACGGGGTCTGTGCACCCCCCCCCGTGGGAGGCACAGTGCATGGACAGGGTTTGTGCCCCCCCCGTGGGAGGCGCAGTGGATGGACAGGGTTTCAGACAGTGGTGTGGTCTGATCCAGTTACAAGCTCCAGAGCCGTTCCTGGGTGCAGAACACCCCAGGGCACTTGGTCGCATGAGCATGTTATCATGAGACATTCCAACAGGCCAGAGAGAAAGCAGTGGGAGGTCTCGTAACCAGTGCACGCTGCTCTCCAAAGAAACACCCAAGGTCCACCTTGTTAATCACATCAGTGGCCGGCCTGAATTTTAAATGGCAATTTAAGAAAACTTACCATTAGGAACGATATTTTTCTTAATCTTATGAGCTAGAATCTAAATTTATCTTTTTTGTAAATTAGATTTGTCCTTGCTCTGAGAAAGTTATTAAAGTAATGGGAAAATAGAGCATAATAAATTCTCATTCTATTTGTAAAATAATTTTCTCAGGATTTAAAAGGATGAAGTTGCAGCCTAATTTTAGTTGGAAGATGACCTTCCTTAAGGTCTTGAACTGAACTCTTGTCGTGAGTGATCGATTCTGTTCAGCTGTCAACTTTGGATCTTGACTGAGGAGCAAGGGAGAGCAACTTGGCTTAGTCTTACCATAATACTCGTTACTGCGTTAGTGGTTGTCAGTTCTGCTCCCCTCAAGTTTTTATCAAGTTTTGGTCCTGGACTCTCAAAATGGGGAACATGTCTTAGTTCAGATCGGCAGCTAGCTGTCTGAAGTTGAATTTATATTGTTATTAAGAAACTCACACCCTAACGAGTCAGCAGTGGCCTTCCATCAGCTTCTGAGGCTGTGAACCTTAGTGAGGAGATTGCCCGTTTTCTCCTCAGGACTGGCTAGCGGGTCCTAACTTTCAATGTCATGCGAGGTTTTGGTCAGCAGCGACACACACCATAGACTAACCCCCCTCACTGCCTCATTGCCACTGTAGCTGTGTCGTTGCAGCTGTTGCCGTCTGGTTCACTGTGCCTCGTAGCGGCCCTGGCCTGCACGGCCCTCATGGTTTGTCATGTGCTGTCTCGTGACAGGCTGTGTCGGGCTGTCTTGTTGAGCATCTTTCTCTTCAGTGAGCATCGACCTTTCCCAGCATGACACCTTTTTCCAGAAAATAGCCCTTCCGACAACATGCCCAAAAGTATGTACAACAAAATTCCATCACCCTTGGGTCTGAGCACCCCAGGTGCACTTGCTCCAAGCAGGCTCACTTGTTCTTTCGGCAATCCATGGGTTAGTCAGTACTATTTTCCAACGCCATGATTCAGAGGTGTCCATTCTTCTTCCGTCAATTTTTGTCCAACTTGGAGAATCGTGAAGCAGTTCAAAATACCATAGCTTGGATCGAGCACACCTTAGTCTTTAAATTGATACCTTTGCTACCTGTGTATTGCTTTAGTGGTTTCTAACTGTGGCTCTTGGCAAAAACACACTTGTTTTATAGCATATACATTCATTTCATCGCTCCCTAAAAAGTTCTTACTGCACATGTGTCATAAAGAAATTATTTCTTCTCCTTGTAGCCAAGGGGAGAACCGAGGAAAAGTATAGTTGTGGTTTGTGAATATGGTTTGAACTACCTTTCTTCATCATCAGCTCTAAAAATCCTTCTTTTGCCGCAAACACTTCACTAATGCGTGGCTGTGGGTATTTGAAAGGAGGGCTGCACACGTCTAGGTTGAATGGCTCTCCTCACCTGCCGTGTGAGTAATCTCAGCCCTTAAATCCTCTGTAGCAGAAGCGCAATGAAAATGAATGAGTCTGAGCTGCATAATTGTCAGGTTAAAGAGTCGAGTGCATTATGGTCACTGAATTGTTCTTTTTCCTCACCTATAAAATAAAGAAATTAAACATGAAGGTAATTTCTGGTGTTCCTCCCATTTCTCCTTCCCTTTGCACTTCAAGCAGTGAGATTTTAGAGTCAAGTTAAATCCTTTACTGAAAGATGTCTCTTGTAAATGATTAGGACGCGTCATCTCTTTTTTTCATCATATTTTAGCATTTGCTTATGACAAGTCATAAATTTGGAAGAATTATACCATCCTCACTTAAGAGTTACTGTTTAATGTTTGAATTAGATTCTCCACCCTATTTCCTGAAACGTGAAGTTGAGCCCACTGTCCTGTTAAGAGATACTAAACTAGGGCATGTGCCTCTTACTAAAACCTGATTTGGAAAATTCCAATTCCTTGAGGATCCACACAGAAAGTTCTAGAAGTCTCTGTACCATCCTGAAATTTCTGTGTCAGGTTGACTGTAACTTCTCATAGAAAAAGCGAGAGTCTGAAGGGGGAGAAAGGACCTTTTGAATGTAAGAATCTTGCATTATGTTGCAGTATGTTCGAGCAGCAGTTCTTGTTCAGGAGACCATGACCTAGAAGGATTCTCCAAAGGCTTACAGGCAGCCAGGTCTTCACTCCGCTCCCCCTCCCTCTTACTCCATACTGTTCAAGGACCAAGAGAGTGACAGCAAAGTAGAAAATAAGGGAATTCTCAGCATTGGGCTGAGGTTTTCATGCCATGAGTATCAGTGTGGGCATCAGGATCGTCTAAAGATGATGGAGAAATCCTCTCTCGATGGACTTTCAGCTCAGTGTGAGCGCACTTGAGACATCTGTGATTTCGGCTCCCGTGCTCTGCCGAAAGGAAAGCTCCAGAGGAGAGAGGACGCTTTCTTAATAAGTTAAATAGATTTCTACTTAACATTCATTGAAGGACCTCTGGTAGCACAGTGGTTAAATCATCCATTCCCTGACCTAAAAGATTGGTGGTTCGAACCCAGCAGCTGCTCCACAGAAGAAAAGTGCGGCAGTCTGCTTCTCAAGGCTAAAGAGACCCTCCAGGAGCTTTTCTACTCCTTCCAAAGTGGCTGAGAGCTGGAGGCAGCTCATCAGCAGTGGATTTGGTCTGGGCGGATTATGTTCATTGAGGCAGCAAAATTCTATGAAACGCTTAAAGCTTTCCAATTAACAGGGTGATTCGTTAGAAGACTCCAGTCTTCCAGACCGGGTAGATGAGCTTTTGACTACGGGTTAGTGAGAGGAATAGTGTGTTGGGTCTGCCTGCCAGTAAATGCCACTTGCTAATCTCACTT